ATCCGGAGCCTGAGATTTCAGGGAGAGGAGGTGGGATGACGTCAGGTCACGTGACCACTGGCGGCGTTGTCAACAATCCACCCCTGAGGGGGAGGGAGCGAAGTATCTAGAACCACGTGTTCCTGTGACGCCATTAGAACAGGTCACGTGACAGCGTCGACTCGCTCTTGGTTTGGGGTCTAAGGAGGCAGGTCACTGAGTTTCTGGGCTTGACACCTCTAGTTATACCTTGTTCTTTTGGCCCCAAGTATAAGGACTTTGCCTAAGGAGACGTTGTGGAAGGAGCCGCTTGCGTTCTAAGTCTTTAAAACAAAACAAAAAAAAATCTGGATTTAATTCTGTTTCAAGTGACTTAGCAACTCTGGTACGTGGAGCAGGTACTGAAAGGGTCGCGTAGACTTACAATAAACAGCTTTGAATGCTAAGGTCGGCGCAGATGAGATGGGCTCTCGGTCACTGGGACCAGTAGCCTGTTGGTGCTAGTGGGATACGGAGATGAGACTGGAATAGCCCTTAAAGACTGCACAGAACTTTCCTTAGTTGGGATCTGAATCTGCCTGCGTTTGAGGCACAATGTGGAGGTGTGACTTTAGAGCATATCAATGGGCTGCTGGTCGTCAAAGAAACCTTCAAAAATGATTCAGATCGGGGAGAGATCGAGCAGACATGAGTGGGAGGTATTTCTTGAGTCTTAAGATAACTCATTATGGGTTTTGAAATAATTGCAAGGAGAGTGCAAAAGGACAGGAAGAACCCGGTCGTGCAGCAGTTCAAAAGCCTTGACCCTGCAGGCTTCTCCTTTTCCGAGTCACAGAATACCCACCCTCCGTTTCTAGTTCCAGTTTGCTACTCTACGGTACCGAACATTTTAGTAGACGCGGAATTCTTAGCTGTAGAAGGAGGAAAGGAATGAGAATCCACCGCTTCACTCCTGCCTATATTTCCATGAAACCAGGAACGGTTTACGTTTGCCACTGTCTTCAAACTCTGAATTTTCTCTTCATTTAAAGTAACCTTGAGAACCCGATGACTTGGTGCATTCTGCTAATCCCACCGTTCAGGTAGTGGAAAGGATCAGGAGTTTAAAGGTAGCCTCAGTGACAGTGGAATGGTGGCCACCCTGGGCAGCCTGAGGACGTCTCATCTTCCCCGCCCCCACCACCGTAAAGAAAGTAACCTTGAGGATTGTTAGGTAGGTCTAACTCCCCCTAGCCGCTGCTGTGCACTCACAATGCGACTAAGTTAAAGGTTAAGTGTTCTTTTCTCCTTTTTGAGGTGTGCGATAGAACCCCAGGGCCTTACACGGCCCTTTAAATATTTATTGAGCCGGGTATGACATGCTGAGCACAACCTCAGCATGATAGAGGTGGTGGCAGGAGGATTGCAAATCCCGTGCCACATTGAACTGCATGGAGAGAAACTGTCTCTGGGAAAAACAGTGAGACAGTCTCCTTGAGTTCCCTAGGCTGGCCTGCAGCCCCCTTTGAGTAGCTAGCATGGGCCTGAAGTGCCTTGCCTTTTTAAAATTATTAATTTGCCATCCAGCCATACCAATCCTGCTCTTGTACATGGTTAAGAAGGAAGGCAAACGTGTGGGATTCTATGCAGTGAAATTCTTGAGACTCTTATTTCTTAAAAAAAAAAGCAACAATCGCTTATCTAGTAATTTATAACTTCTCTAGTAATTTATAACTTAGAAATGTATTTTTCCAAGATGAATTTTTTTTTCCCCGAGACAGGGTTTCTCTGTGGCTTTGGAGGCTGTCCTGGAACTAGCTCTTATAGACCAGGCTGGTCTCGAACTCCCAGACATCCACCTGCCTCTGCCCCCCAAGTGTTGGGATTAAAGGCATGCACCACCACCGCCCGGCTAAGATGAAATATTTTGACAAATTCCATGTACTTCCTTTGTCTCAGAGTTGGTTCTCTTTCCACCAAGCAGACCCAAGGGATTGATACCAAGTTGTCAGGCTTCTTAGCTTTTTCCTACTGAGCTATCTATCTCGTTGACCTACATGTACTACTATTCCAGTTAAATCAGGATCTCTAGAAGTGGAGCCCTTTAAAAATCTTTACGGTTTATTTAAATGTACATTCCGAAGTGTCCTTGTATATCACTCAGTCCAGTGAATTGTTTGCTGTCCTAAAAAGTTTTGTGTTTCATATGTACTGAGAAAACTTTTTTTAAAGGACTGCTAGGGCCAGACGTGGTGACGCACACCTTTAAGCATGGCACTTAAAGCAGGCAGATGAGCTCTTGGGAGTTGAAGGCCAGCCTGGTCAACATGGTGAGTCCCAGGTTAGCCAGGGCTACAAAATAGACCCTGTCTCAAAGCAAAAAAGGATTACCAGTAGTTGGAAAACACGAAGGAATAGCTAGAGTTTTAAAGAATTGGTGTTAGAAATGAGTCAGGGGAGTAGCGAATGCTGAGTTTGTGGCTTAACACTGAGCTGTGCCCTTTGCCCAAGAACCATCTTGTCCCATGATTAAGGATCAATGTCGACTCTGAGGTCGAAATCAGGTGTAAGGAATATTAATATAGCGTAGGCAAACTGTAGTCACAAGGCTTCCTTGGATCAGTTGTCTCTACTGAAAATCAACCTCTTAGGACCGGGCACAAACAGGTGACCAGAAGTCACCTTGGCCACAAAACGCTTTCTTCCCGGCGTAGAATGAGCTCACGAGGGCGTCCAATCTGCGGCAGAAACCGCCTCCCCCATTCTGCAAGCACGCGAAACTCCTGCACCCCTTCCCCTTCCACCTAGCTTCCGCTTCATGTCACTTTCCCTTCCGGGTCGGGACCACAGCAATTTCCAATCTTGCGTACTGCGGTTCGAACGCGGCCAGGCCCCGCCCCCACTCCGTTGCCAGGGCACCGGGCCGCCCAGAGCCCGCGAGGTCGGCCAGGAAAGGAGGCGAGGCCTCCCTATAGCCGGCTGGGACTTAGTGGAGCCGGGCAGGCGGGACTACAGGATGGGCTGAGGCGGTGGCGGCTTTCAGGACGAGGTCGAGAGGCGACTCCGGTCGGGGCTGCTTAGACTGTGGGTTTGAGGGGAGGGTGGGTCGCGTGGGTGACTGCAGTACCAAAGTGGGTGTTCCCACGCTTTGTGGACCTCAAAGGATTCGCAGTTTGTTAGTGGGACTTTTTAACCTGGATATTGTTGTCGTTGGTGTTTTCTGAAAGACAACTCATATTCTAAGTCCCGTATTCTATAAAGATTTCTGAATTAAGTGTGAACCAGACCTCCCTTTAATTTCTCAGTCCCAAAATGCCAGATAAATGCAGGTCACCCCTGTGTTCTGGTCAAAGTTGGAGCTTCTCTTAACAGACTAAGAGTTCCCATGAACAGGCTGTGCTGTAGCCAGTTTTCCCAGTTTTTGTTCTTCTATTTGAATACGTTATCCATCTTGAAAATGTAAAGTGTGAACTTTTAACATTTTCTTTATTTCTGTGAAGCAGAAGCCAGCCTTGAAAATGGAGATGTATGAAACTCTTGGAAAAGTGGGAGAGGGAAGTTATGGAACGGTCATGAAATGCAAACATAAGGATACTGGGCGGATAGTGGCCATTAAGATATTCTATGAGAAACCAGAAAAATCTGTCAACAAAATTGCAACGAGAGAAATGAAGTTTCTAAAGGTTTGTTTCTTTTGCTTTTTAGAAATTGGGTCTTGTTTGTTTGTTTGTTTGTTTATTTTTCAAGACAGGGTTTCACTGTGTAGTTTTGGATCCTGTCCTAGAACTCACTCTTTAGACCAGACTGGCCTCGAACTCACAGAGATCCACCTGCCTTTGTCTCTGCCTCCCGAGTGCTGCAATTAAAGGAGAAATTGTTATAGAATAAAAATAAAATGTATGAAAGAACATTTCCATTAACAGATATACTAAGACCTGCATAGAGGAATCCTCATTGTCTACAGATTGTAATTTTTTTAGTGATAAATGATCTATGTGCTTCTGTATAACAGAATTATAATATTTCGAAGACATTCAAAACTATTCAACTATAATACTTAAAGAGATCCGCTTTGTACAAGGGATTGTGGAAGAAGGTAAGACTAGAAAGAAGTAAAAATTTGTTCCTTAATGACTTATAACCAGGCAGGAGGGTACATAAAAATAATCCTGAGTAAGAGTGACTCTTACTCTGTGGTTAAGAGCACTTATTGCTTGTGGAGGACTAGAGCAATTTCCAGAACCCACAGGAAGAGGCTCAAACTGCCTGGGGCTCCAGCTCTTTCTGGCCTCCAGGGATACCTGCAGGCTTGTATGCATAATCACATACCCACACGGTTTTTTGTTTTGTTTTAATGGTTAATATTAAGTACCACAAAATTCTTTTTGGCAGGGTAGGTTTCTTGCAGAAAATGTGGTATGTTCTTGGCCTTGAAGGATGTGTAGCATTTGGGTAAAGTAGAGCTATTAATGAGTTCCAGGTTAGGGGGAGTGGGAACAGCATATACTCAGAAAGACTAAAACAGACAGAGCAAGAGTGAAAAGGAAAAGAACAGATACTTGTCTATGATTTTCTTGTATAGAATTAGAAAATTGGAAGTTTATTTAAAAATGTTTTAGACTAGGAAGTCAAAACTTGGTTTGGGGGCTTGATTTGTAGTAGTTCGGTTGGCAGATTGCTAGCCAGTCTTTCATGAGGCCCTGGGTTTGGTCCCCAGAACCACGTAAAACTGATTGTATGCCATCCTGTTGCCATCCTCTGTTATATTTTGAGTTCTAAGCCAGCTTGGGATACATGACATCCTGTCTCAAAAGCACAAACCTGATTTTTTTAAGAGATGGAGAGTGAAGATTTAAGTTAATTGTAAAGAATTAATCTGTTAAGTATTAATCTAGCAGTGTTCTGTGGAGTGTATTAGAAGACTGAAACCTCAAGATGTCTGATGAGAATTTAATTCAGGAATCCTACTAATATCGTGAGGCCTTTTTAAAGAATTCAGCAGTATAAATGACATAGGGAAAGGAGCTGGAGATGTCCTTGAAGTCCAGAGAATGCTGCAGTTGGTGTAAGTTGGAAAAAAATTTGAGAACTAGTTCAGTTTTGGAAAAGTGGACCTAGAGATGACAGGAATATTTAAATAAAGACTATTAGGCTTCTATAAACAGTATCAAAAGAGATCATGTGTGATAGATAGGTTTACTTGGGCAAAGAACTGAGGAGGTGGATAGTGCACATTCCTTGGGAGACCAGGTCCAAAACTGGAGACTGAAACTGAAAACAATGCCTCCAAATACAGATGTTCTATTTTGCTGAAATCTAGGTGCTTTGAGGGTTCTCACCTTGACAGTGGAGTCCAGATACTTTATATGTGATGAAGAGTACAGCTATTCATGCCTATTTTTATTTGGTACAAAAGAAGCATTTTCTTTCCATTTCTTCCTTCCTTTTTTTTTTTTTTTCTTCAAGACAGGGTTTCTCTGTATAGCCCCGGCTGTCCTGGAACTCATTCTGTAGACCAGGCTGGCTTCAAACTCAGAAATCTGCTCACCTCTGCTTCATGATTGCTGGGATCAAAGGTGTGCACCAACACTGCACTGTTTTTTCTTTCTTTTTATCTGTATTATATATATAAATCAGTTTTCTTCTAAAAAGAATACTATGCTAACATCTGGGGACAGTTGAAACTGTTCTATTTGTAGACTTATGAAGGAAAATTAAAAGCTAGTAAAGACATGATGATTTTTTTGAGACACCAGTCCCTGCCTGATGAAATGAAACAACACTGTCAAGTAATTTGTGCTCTTTTTTTTTTTTTTTTTAAGATTTATTTATTATGT